TTAAGGGGGGGGGGGGGGGGGGGGGGGGGGGGGGGGGGGGGGGCTTAAGCCCCCTACCGGACAGGTCAAGCCCCAACCACCCGCCTGACAGAGCTCGTCGGGCAGTCAGACCATTTAGCATATAAAAATAGGCCCGCACCAAGCCAAAACATGTCTGTCACAGTCTGAGAGTGCCATTTTGGGCTATCCAGAGGTTGATATTCTTTAAAAATGAGATTTTAAAAAAATCCCCCGTCGGACAACTTAGCCCCTCAGAAAATACATCCTAGAGCCGCCACTGTTTACAGTGCCTTCTAGTGATGTTGATGTATCTACGAACTAAAGGGTCACTTCCTGTCTCAGCTACATACATTCGTCTGTCCACAACAGCCCAAGCAGGGGCGGATCCAGACTTTTTTAAACGTGGAGTGGGGGGGGGGGTCAACATATTTAGTATAGATAAGGAGTAGCGCTAATTTCAATATATGCATTGAAAGTTTAAAATTTAGTGGCAAAACTGGGAGCCGTGACCCCGTGGCCCCCTACTGGATCCGCCGCTGCCAAGTGGGTTATACAGTTTATAGTCTTTACTAAGGTAAAAATTAATGGTAATAATAACAAAAATTATAGCCTATATATATATATCATAATGATAATATGAGAAATTAGTAAAGTATAATAAATATTGATACCGTATTTATTCGAATAAACGCACCGCTTTGAATAAACGCCCCTTAGAATAAACGCACTGTCCAGAGCCTGTCTCTTATACACATCTAGATGTGTATAAGAGACAGCTACCGGACAGGTCAAGCCCCAACCATCGCTATCAACACCATGAGTCCGGCTTAGCTCTCTAGGCGGAACTAAATGCCAATCAAACGTGAGATCCCATGAAAATCCGCCTACATGCACAGCGTTTGGGTTCTTGTCCAATGCAAACGTTTCATGGAGTGGCGCGATGATAAGGTAAAGGGGTGCTAGCTCGTAAATAAGGTGATTTGAGTTGAATTTAAACTACTTGAACTGATTTTTATTTTCGGGAGGTGAGCGAATATTCATACGCCACTGTTTTTTCATAACATTATGATATTGATGATAATTGTAACAGACGCATTTGTACGGTACCTTACTGGTTCGCTATCAACACCATGAGTCCGGCTTAGCTCTCTAGGCGGAACTAAATGCCAATCAAACGTGAGATCCCATGAAAATCCGCCTACATGCACAGCGTTTGGGTTCTTGTCCAATGCAAACGTTTCATCGTCGATGACGTTGATGACTGGACATGGAACACATGAGCTATAACAAAAAAATAGTTATAAATGGTTATAATTGGAAAATGTTAGAGTAAAATGAATTAATAAAACTATCGAATACCATAACCACGGCGAGACAATGACTTGGGGGTAGCGCTAGGACTTGGCAGAGGTCCACCACAACAGTAAAGGGGGCGTGTCCGGGCATCGCTCAAAATATTTCGAAAGTGGTCCAATTTAGGGGTTTCAAAAGGTTTATTTAATCGATATGAGTATCTACTAATATGTAGAAATTACATATGATTTTTTTTCCAAGACGAATTGTGGTTTTTCTCCCAGACCCGGGGGAGCGGGGGTGGGTGTGGTGGAGGAGGCTACTCTTCCTGACGGAGCCCCTAGACACCACTGGCGCCAACCATGCAATGACTATTAATATCTTTTATTCTACTATTGTAAACAATCATGAATATTCATTAGGTGCAGGTCTTATACTGTATCCCAGCTAACAGTATGACGGTATAAGAACGTTAGAATAACGTTACAGTTTGGTGTTGAAAACGATATTCTGTGAATTATAAATACGGACTTAGACTGTAATTTCACAGCTAAATAACGTTAACTAAGTTATCGCCTACTGTTGATATTGGCCTATTTTTATTATTGAAAATTATTTAAGAATTCAGATTTATCTATATGTTTTCCACCATAAAAGATCAAAAGAAATTTACTCAGGTTACCCGACTAAGGTGTTTTGCGGTTTAACTTTTAAATTCATAACAAAAAACTTGCAAAATTTTGATATTTGGGGAAATGTAGAAAAAAAAGAAAAGCAGAAAGAGATGCTATAAGAAATAATTAACCAGTAAGTTCATGAAAAGTGATAAAATGCATAAATAATTTAATAATTTTAATATTCGATATTTAAAATGTGTTGAACACATTTAAATACCGGTACCATATGGTTTCCAAAAACCAATCGCTACGAACAAGTGAGCCTAATTTACTTATTCTCTGCACAACCTAGATTCTGTCAAGAGCCACGTCCAACAAAACAGGACCTCTTATCGTCCTCGTCCTAGATGTTTATCTTCGCCGCGCGATGTTTGTACTGTACTTACTTGTCTTCAGTCACACGGGAAAGCAGGGGTTCGAGCCACCCTGTAGTACACTCGCAGTGTGCGTCTAAGAAGGTTAACACGGTGCCAGTGGCTACCGCAACACCGACCATTCTTGCCCGGATCAGGCCTTCACGTCGACCAGTGCGCACAAGACGCACAGGGACATCTCCTTTATGGGTTGCAAGGTAGTCGTCCAGAGCTGTCTTAAGGTGTGCTGCCGACAAATTGACAATTATTATGAACTCTTCAGTAAATATTGTATCTACTTAGCTATTACTTAAAGTTCTCTACGATTACTGTAGGATACAATAAGTTTCAGTTTCAAGGTAGACCTATTTCACATAGAGTGTTTAGCTCTCGCTACAAAATCTGATTCAACATTTGACCAATTGAAGACGTACTAGATAACTTTGTCCACACTCAGTTTCTTGTGAATAAATTAGGTCTATCTGTACGTAGTTATAATATATTATTTCTGTCTATTATAACCGAGACAGAACTAAACTTTGTCATTCTTTAATAATATTTTTTCCAACATGGCGTGCCATAGTGCATACTTACTTCGATCACTTCCATCGTCGACGAGAATAACTTCGGCAAGAAGATGATGTGGAGATCGGTTCAATACGCTATGCAATGTCCTTAGCAACGTTGTACGCGCTTCGTTGTAAAACACGATTATTACACTTGTATTTAACAACTGCTTCCCATAATCCTTTTCGGCACATCTGAAACGACATTAACATTATACATTTTTATATTTCCAAATCAACTATTAAACGAGATCAAAAGAAAAACACAGATAATATTAATTTCAGTAGAATCATTGCACAAAATAAAACTATGCACCAAGAAGATTGATAAATGGGGAGATACGGTAATAAAAACATTTATGGAAAAATACCAAATAGGCCTACATGGCTTTGAGTAACATGTGCTCATCAAATGGAATGACGATATTACGAAAAATGGTTATATGGTGTAGCCTTATAGAATATTTGCCTAAACTTACCCCTGGGCCCTGATGTCTGGCAACGAGCGATTTACGGAAATTCGATCGCTGACATACAGGTTGAACTCGTGCAAATGGAACATTTTGTCCCTTGCTTGTTTGTCTCTCTCTCTCGTCAGGATAACTGGCACTCCCATTTCTCCTTCGTTCATCCCTATCAAGCGGTAAGGATTTTTTTTTTGTAGATTGGGTTTCTTTGCCTTTGGCAGAGGGGGAGCGTTGATTATGTTGCTTTCCTTCCTTTTAAACAACGCAGGATCTATGATATAACAAAATATGCAGTGGTTATTAAACATTTAAACGTATTATTAATAAGTGTAGGCCTATAATCTTACGATGAAAATCATATGCAATATGAATTCAATGCCGTAGCCAGCTATTGGGACAGTTGGGACATTCCCACGCAATTTTTCTAATGGGTCCACGAAGAATGGGTCCATATTTTTAAAAATGAGTCCAAATTATGTAATTTTATGCATAAAATAGGTCCACTTTTTGAAAAATGGGTTCAGAATTCTAATATTTAGCTTAAAATGGGTAAAACTTAAGAAAATTGTTCCAGATTTTTTCATATTTTTGCGTAAAATGGGTCCACATTGTTTGAATTTACGCGTAAAGTGGGTCCCGCACTGTTTGAAAATCTTGGCTACGGCACTGTATGAATCATACTTTTAACATAACTGATTGGAGATTTTGATAACATGAGTTCACCAAAATGACTTCTGCGCTATGTGATCTATGAGCATACCCAAGACACTGTACCAGGCCAGTGATTTCATTGTTCAAAAGACGATTTACGATCAATGGGGGCCGAATACTGTTGGATGTGAACTAAATAAAAGAAAACCATAGAGCATATATGATGAGCAAAGGCATTAGGCTCAGATAGCCAAAAAACACCCAATATCGCCTAATTTTGTCAGCTAACGCCCCTTACTTAATCATCAAGTCCCTATTTAACTTTCGCGCCCTCCGTCAATCTCCGAAGTTAATATTCATAGAAACGCTACTGAGCACCGCTGTCTGAGCATGTACTAAAATACTTATGCTGACTGAAAATGGTAATTACACTATTAGGCCTATCTTTAACAGAATAATTAGTTGAGAGATAATGACCTTCTCGCAAAGTTTTGAGATAGAATGTTGGTAATAATTCACGATCGAGCTTTGGATTCAGAATAGGGATGTTCAAATCCAGATAGAAGAGCGGAGTTGATAAGTTTCTCGAAAAACTGAACATAAAAGTATAGTATTAAAGAGGCGCACTATAAACTCTACGTTGTTCTAGCTAAATCTATTTAGTATTTATACAATGAAAACCTCCGGAAATAGTTTAGTAAGTAAGTAATAAAATTAGCTGAAATTATATCCCATAACATAATTTCATAACATGAGACACAGTCCTACAAATATAATTATTGATACAAAGTTTGCAAACGTAAAGTTCTATAGCTATGTAGGCCAACTGTAAACTAAACATTTACCATTAAGTTTTCAGCCTTAGTCCTATAACAGTAATAGCTAAATATATTTTATTGTTGCCATGTTTTGTACGTGTAACAGCGTGTACTATTGATCATGTAGATGTAGTCAGTAAATTATCGATGCCAATAGACGGAGGGAAAACTGATTTCCAAAAAATCAATGAAGCGTAACAAAATGTTATACGTGGATTGTCTGAAATATCGATCTTTTTCCAGTTATTTCCACAAAGCAGCTAAATGATGATCAAACTAATTTCATTATGGATAATAAAGTATTTTAAATATTAAATCTTGAATAAATATATATAAGTATATATGTGCATATACATATATAGTATACACTAGTCCTATATATAATTAGTCGAGTGACACAGGGTAGTAGATAACGCTGTGTCGAAAAATACACACCAAATTGAATACATAGATATATAGGTCTATATATAGATATTGTGCTTTAGTCTGGCATTAAAAACCTAAGAATTATATACATTATGCATTTCATATGTATGCCTATATGTATATATTGACCTACAAAACTATATTTATATTGATCTGATCACCTGGAATTTAAAACACAAAACAAATGTTATCTAACCTCTAAATCCAAGTGGGTTCGGCTTTGGTGCTTCAGGTCTGAAATCATCTACAATTTTTTGTATCTCGTTCACAGTGTTACTCGTCGGGGCCACTTCATTTTTTTGCAAATCTTCTTTCAGTGGAGGCTTAAAAACATCAACTAATTTCTTATCTTCGTTTTGCTGTTCGTTCTGATTACCTTCCTCGTGTTTTTCCTCCTGAATATATTTATCATTTTTAAACTCATTCACAAACACTTTATCATCGTCCACGTGTAGAGCACCAGGAATATTATCGTTCCTATCATTATTTTCATTAACTTGATCCTGATTAAACTGAAACGTGTCCTTTTTTCTGGCATCTTCTGCTCCTAAAGGCGATCGCTTATGAAACGTAAAATATGCAAACATTGCATATCCAAGAATACAAAGTACGATACCAAATTTAACGTGTCGTTTTCCGTGCCGAATCATCGTGGTATCAGGCATTGAGAAGGTGCGGTTTTAGGGTTTAAACTTTTAGAGGGATTTCAATCTAAAAATCCATTCCATTTACAAATTCTTTAACCTAGAAAAACATTTTTTTTTAGGAAAACAATAACGTACCGTCAGAATCCGCATCCGTAGGCCAACCGGAAAAACCTGTGACTTCAGTGTCATGTGCGTGCGTGTATGTCTTCTCACCTATTTTTAATTTTTCGGATCACGTGAATCTAGACCATTGTTCGTGGCATTGTAGGACGAATAATTTTTTTGGCTAACAGACTCGGCGTATTAGGTTTGTCACAGCTGTTTAATAAACTCAGTCAATTGGTTTAATCGATAAAGTGCTACAGCACACCGGTGAAATACACATGGCCTAGGCTTACGGTTCACCATTAGGATCGATGTATTTAAATTAAAAAGGTCTAGACACTCCCTTTAACTACGGTACCTGTACAATGCAAATTTCACTGGTAAAAATAATTTCGTCTGAAGACATTTTTGTTCCGAATAGCACGATGCAAAAGAGGAACCAAATTTATTACTAAATATATAGGCCTAAAATAAGTAGAACCCAGAATGTTTGGATGTGGGTTAGGGTGGGGGGAACCATAAATTTCGGCTTGTTTGAATTAACACCACCATGGGAGTACAAGGTCCGGTCTCATGACAGAGCCGTCGAGGGTGTGGTTGAAACACTAATAGGCCTATGTTCAGAGGCCTTAAATGAAATTTAGGCCAACTTAGCCTATTAGGTTATTATTTCACAGTCACAAGCATACATGTTTATAAACAATTTTTGGGGAAAATCCTATTTAACCCCTATCCCACCTTTACATGTGTTGGTTTCAACACATGTTAATTCTTACTATGATTGAGGCTTGGATGCTCGAAGCTGCGATGATGAGGCATAAGTGGCAATGGTCGAAAGACTCCGGTTGGCAGACCATAACATTTTCAATAGTTTTTTTTGTTTTAATGTGATGGCGTCTACAAAATTGACGTAATAACAATATTAATAATGATACATATTGGTAATACAGGTCTTAATCTAAATACCTTTCCAATAAAAGACCACTTTTCTGTGGTTCCAAATTAACAAATGTCTTTTATCTTTATTCTAATTAGAGACCAAAGCTGCTAAAGGCCATGGAAACCCCGGTCCCGAAAGTGGTCTTTAAGGAGGGAGACATGTATAAGAATGGAATTAAAATAACAATAATAATATCAGTTAAAGCATTACCCACAATAGTAACAATATTAACAATAATGATAAAAATAATAACAATAGCAACAATAATAACAATAGAAATAAAAATGATAAATATTATGACGGTATCTTAATAAATTAACAGTAATAAAATAAAATAAAATATAATAAATAATTAATCGATGTGCTATTATGTGTATATAAGAGAATAAGATACAGGATTATTAAATAAGGGCTAGATGTCAAATGTTGAACATGCAAAACTTTTATCCTACGTCACAGTAGTCCAGTATGCGTCTGTCGTTGTTTCAAATCGATTCAATACATTATTTTGGCTAATTCATTATATTTATTAACATTATTTAACTGTTATTTAATGTTAATCTGTACTCACTATCATCTCTCTCTGTTCAAACCCTCCTCCGCTGCTCACACATACTACAAGATTAGACCAAAAAAAAAAAACAAAAAAAAAACAAAAAAACAAAAAAAACAAAAAAACAAAAAAAAAACAAAAAAAAAAAAAAAAACACGCTATTTAACTGTTATTTAATGTTAATCTGTACTCACTATCATCTCTCTCTGTTCAAACCCTCCTCCGCTGCTCACACATACTACAAGATTAGACCAAAAAAAAAACAAAAACAAAAAAAAACAAAAAAAAAAAAACAGTAGGGTATTTTTTTTAATACATGTGTTTATTCAAGACGCGAAGCTTAATCTAAATTAAACATTTCAGTAAAAGAAATTTACACTAAATTATTCAGATGTATTCAAGGTCTCTGTAGTTTTGTACAACCTGTCATTAACTTGTGAATTGTCGATACTTTTAAGTGTATGAGAATTTAGTTTAATCATGTAAATTTTGAGAATTCTTATGCATTTTTATTAACGTAAAGACGGAATAAATACGATAAACATATGATAGACAATAATGTAAACAATATAGATCCGTACGACATTATGCTTGCCTCAGGGGCGGATTTTTCAGGATTTTTTGTTAGTGGGGTTTTTTTGGGGGGCGGGGAGGTGTGTGGGGCTACCAAAATGTTCCGCTTTCCAAGTTGACACATGAGATATCTTGTACCACTCTTTTAATTCCGTATCAAACGAGATCTCATGATGCTTAAAGTTATTACATCATGTGTCATGGTACCATATTCAAATTAGATACTCGTCACACGTGTTAGGCTACATAAATGAAGTTAGTAATATATATTACGTCACATGTGTCAAGTCCAATATCAGGTTTTAATAAGATCTATTACGTAGCAGGTTCTATAAAATTAGATATAATTATTACGTAATATAATGTCAGCAGTGAGATACAAACACGATATATAACGTGACATTTGTCAGGTTCCATATATCAGGTACAAATTAAAGATGTTAAAAAACTTCAGAACCAATTAATCAATAAATTAATGTTAAATCAATTTAAAAACCAATGCAATGTGAAGTCTCGTAGAAACTACCGTCTTTATTTTGAATAAAGGAGCTACCTTTTATTTCGCAGTTGGATTTAAGTTTTCTCATGTTCATCGTTATATACAGCACGCCCTCTAGAAGAAAATGTTCCGCTATCCTTAAAATTCTCAAATAGGCCTATCATACATGCAGTAAAGCAGATCTGAAATGTATACGTATCCATAAAGTATGTCAAAGGATATAAAAATTGATCATCCGATGACATAATAAACTGAAAAATACAGTTGATAAAAGTTTAAATGAAGTTAGACGTTCACATCTTCCCTGTACAGAGATTGCTTTTCATGCATCATTATAGTGCGTTATACCCTGGCACAAAGAATAAAGATATTAATTATTATATGCAATAAAAACAAACTGAAGCAAACATCAAACAAACGACAGCGATTTTTGTTTACTATGATCGACCTTATTCTTTATGGCAAATCCATATCCAGGGTACAATAACACAAAACATCACTCCTAAAAAAACAGATTATAAAAATATTCATATTAGATATTTAAAAAAATGGTTCGGGTGGGAATCGAACCCACGACCTCCAGGTTATTTATCCAGATGAAAACCACTACAAATGCTATTAAGATGTGAGTTTGCCTCAGGAAATATCATAGGAGTGATTATTTGCCCACCTGTCGTGTTAATCGTAGCAAATACTCAGTACGCCACCAAATACTAAAAAATAATAAAAGTTACCGTAACAAAAATGGTTCGTGTGGGAATCGAACCCACTCTTCAGAAACTCCACTAATCGCGCTTATGCATTACAGAATAGCTTTCAGGATTCATGGTAGCGAGCACGATCGAAAAGTACCCGTCCGTCAAAATCAAGTAAAATGAACGGTTTATTCATATTGTTATACAGTAGTATAAAATTAGGCCAGTAGTCCGGATAATAAAAAGGGAGATGTTTATGATGCAAATTTTAAGTTGTAATGTCTTATAATTAATTGACACTAGCGATTTACAAATCATAATTTTTGATAAAATCTTCGTTATCCTAGCGGTTCATGGCGACCTTTCGTTACCAATTTTCGTTACAAAATTTTATTGGTTTTTATTTGAAAAAAGGAAAGTGTAGAGGGGCCCAGGGAATGACTTTGACAGATGGAGATGTAAGAAAATGTATTATTTCACCCGTGATGGCTGGAAATGACACTCTCAGACTTACTTTTTAATATAATTTTCCTTTTCCCTATTCTTTAAAATAATTTTTAAAAATTTAGGAGGCCCCAACCCACCCCAATGCCCCTTGAATCCGCCACTGAATTAAAATAAACACAGTAAATAATAGTTAGTCTTCCAAAAACTCAAAATAAAATTGAGGGGCCCGCTGGCCGTTTTTTTTCCTTCAAAAATATTAAGCTGGAAATTATTTTAAATTATTATTTTTAGGCTCATCTATGAATGGGCCCCTAATAGACCCAGTGCGAACTGTCTATACTGCCAATTCCTACGTTTGGGACGTTAACCCAACGTTTGTTTGGGAAGCGTGTTCTTACACGATAACAATGTTAATGTTGCCTTACAGCCAGAAGTGATGCTACATCCATTTAGTTCACTTACATGGGCCCATTTTTTTTATCTGCTTCTTCTCTGTCTCATTTTCTATAGCAAGGAAGGGACAGAATATAATCAAAGAGATTTTCAGAATAGGCGTTCTCTTATAGAGGGCGCACTGTATATAATGATTTGATCAGAGTCACACTCTATATTCAATCTATGTCACCATGAAGTTGGTAGCTATGCCTACTTTGATTTGTTTTTTTCATGGTTCTGGTGTGAGCAATTCAATATTCTTATGTTTTTTGTTTTCTTTATCGGTTTGCATGAATTGTCTTATTCATCGCTTAAACATTCTGAGTCAGAATTCTCTTACTGTAGCCCCAACAACACAAACACCAGTGGCGGATTCAAGGTCGTCCCACTTTTACTCGTAAATTGAAGCTACATATTATTAATCATACAGAAAAAAAGCTGAATATTTATTCAACAAACCATTGCTTAGGCATATTATTGTTTTAACTCGGCGCCTTTGATAACTTTGTTAAACGTTTGCGTTATGAAATTATGATTTAATAGTGTTCAGATTTTATCAGAATCATATTAGGTACTTAGCAGTTCGTGCCGTACTTATTTCCCTCTATTTACCCTTTTCACACTATCTACTAGTAATATATCTATTATATTCGACATTATTAATTAAATACAACCATTTAAAGCAGTGATCTTTGACAATAATGTATTTAAACGGGTAGGCTGAGAAAGTAATCATTGTTATAAGGTACCGTCTTATCTCGTCAACCAACCTTGGATGTTCTGCTACATTGTCAATAGATGACTATTGAATATAAATTCTGTAAGTATAATTGTAAAACTTTTGTCAGATGTTTCAATGGATACTGTTCTTTTACATTAGTCCTAGCTCCGTATTCTGTTGCATCAGGTTGTTGTAATCTACATTGACAATGCGCTTGTTAGCTTTTGTTTCAATATGTTTCGGTTTATTCATTTTCGTCCAGTTTCCAAACAATCGCTACACGCTATCGTCGACAGCTTTCGGTGATGCATAGGCCTATTGATTGGTCGAATCGGGGAGCTTTCCGATTGCGTCGTTGATTGCTACGCAGTACAAAGATTTGCGCTGAAAACACTGAAGCGACAGTGTAGCGATTTAAAGGAAACCAGGCTTACCGCGCAGAGCCAATCACTGTAACACGAGCCACACGCGTGGCAGCGTGTACAGTGTTTCGCTATGCAATTCGATTCAAAAAATACAAACGTTGCTTAGAAAAACTATAGAAAGAAGTGTGTGCACGTGTAGTGAGAGAGTTAAAATAAACTTACACATGTTTTTTTAGAAACCAACTTCATGAATTGTAAACCATACCATGTTATTAAAAAAGGGAAAAAAACAAAACAAAACAAAACAAAACAAAAAACCATGGAAATTATGAAGCGGTTACCGTGATAGGATTATTGATTGTCTGTTTCTACATTTTTCACTAACAATGTTATTTTTTTATAAAAATTAATTACTAAATTTAATAATATTTACTGGAATATTATTAAATGAGGAGTTTAAACCCTCCAAGTTCTTTTCTGGTGTATCGCTCAGTGTCGCCTAGAATAGCTCTCAAGGCCTACCACATTGAATGAAATTGGATTAAGCATGGAGGTATAACAATTATTTATAACTATTTTTATACCTCCATGGTTTAAGAGGGGATCCAAGTAGATTTCTGGTCGTAAAACATCCTGGAATATCACCGACGACCCTTGACTGGTGAAGCGGCCCAGAAAATAATTCAAACTTGACCTCTCTGCTTCAATTCAAAAGCCTATTAGAAGCATGCTATTTCAGCTGACTGATAATTAGTATATTGGAATTCGAAAATCCGTTTCTATAGAAGAACTCAAAGGAATTACTGTACAGACAGCAGGTTTGTGCTGTGGTATTAGAAGGACTGCCTTTATAGATATCACAATACACCGTATTACTGTGACCTTGAGCCTACAGAATTAAAATGGCGTGCAGGAGGATAGTTGCTGGCTGAAAATAGTACAAAAAGGGGTTATCATCCGGGTATCAGAAAGCACATTGCTCAAAATAATTTTGATATAAACAAAACTCGCTAAATGATTCGAGCTCGTTGTTATAGGCCTATTAACATTAATGATGATATAGGCCCTAAATATAACTTATTAGAAAATTCCCGGCCATATGCTCAAGTGTGGATTAGCATGCTTATAATGGAGAACCAAAAATTATAGGAATATATTTTCTTTAAAACATATAATGTTTAGCTATCAAACTTATATATTTAATTGCAAGCTTCTTTTTCCACATTTTCTTTTTATTTTCGAAAAAATTTAAGTGGCCCAGGACGATTTTCCTCACACCACTGCATCCGTATTACTGTGACCTTGAGCCTACAGATATACAATGGCGGAGGTAGATAGTTGCTGGCTGGAAATAGTACGGAAAGGGGCGATCATCCGGGTACCAGAAAGCACATCGCTTAAAATAATTTTGATATAAGCAAAACTCGCTTAATGGTATGAGCTTGTTTTCGTCATATATATTTACATCTTATTATAGGATTCCCATTTAGGCTTACGTGTGGATTAGAATGCATGGAGAACCAAAAAATTAGAGAAATATTGTTTTCTTTAATGTTTAACTTATAAAGTTTAACTCATTTTCTTTTACTTTTAGAAAAATATAAGTGGCCCAGGCCGGTTTTCCTCACCCCATTGGCTTCGTTCTGCTAGTATTAGTAAATGACCATGTAAGCCTAATGTTGGGTCTATGATGAACAAAGAGGACCGCCAGGTAAATTGAGATGCGCTATGTCAATAGACGAGAAGCGTAGTATGATCATATCATGAGGCTAAATAATACCATTTCTTATTAGGGTAAATAGGCATTAAAATTGTGTAGACAGGCCAACAATTTTAGAATTTTCTTAGCTAGAAATGAGCTATCATGCGCATGCGCATTCACATTTCTATCGGCGTTTTTTGCTTCAGCGGAATCAGTAGTTCCAACAGCTGTTCCGATTTGTTGCGAAGTGAAAAAAGGGTGGGGTTGGGGAAGAGCTCAGAAAGCGAACCGACGCTTTCCATTCGTGTGAATAAATTCGCCTAGTATAAAACCGGCTTTAATAGGCCTAACCTTCGCTTAATTTTTGAGATATTGTATACAGTAAAAAGTAGCACTCATGACTTCAGAACTATGGCCTTTGATTCAACTAAGCAATAGTATTGAAAAGCGTCAAAAGAGATGAAAACACAATTGTTAGAGAGGATGACCCTTCGAGCGTACTGTATACTAGATAACGATTTATCGTGTATACGATAACAAAATATTTTGACAAATCGAATCAGGTGACGTCATAATCATGGAAAAAGCGATATAATTCTACTACGATTTTAATGTTTTTCCATGATCATGACGTCATCTGATTTGATTTGCCAAAATATGTTGTTATCGCATAACTGATAAATCTTTATCGAATCGTCCTAGTGTTAAAACTTCTCTTATTTCTTTTATTTTCTATATGAACAATTGCTTTTTAGCTTTTCTTTTTTTTTTTTATCGTTATCGTTATCGTTTGAGTATAAACAGGCCTTAAGCTTGGTTCCAACTTGCAAAAAAGCTGCCGCAACGCAAATTACGCAACGCAACGTGGGAGTGGAGTTGATCTTAGTCCTGTTGTCACAGGAATTAAACCCAGAACCTTGGGATTAGAAAGCAAACATCTTGATTCAACTTGATTATGAAAATAATCCTTTGACTTATGGATTGAGATTCAGGAAAACACCAATAAGACTACCGGTACCGTGTTGAAATTAAAATACTCTTTTTTTTGTAAAGCAGCGATCAATCTTTTTAGTTTTACTACCGTATATATTGTTTTTATTATCCTAAATTGGTTGATGACATTTAGGCCTATATTTTAGTGTGGATTTTAGTAACATATCTTCATGTTGATGTGTTAAAGTGCTTAATTAATTTTGAAGAATCTTAAACTGTAAATTTATGCTATAGGTAGACCTAGGCCATATTTGAATTATGGATATATAGTAAATGTTTTGTTCTGGGGTTTTTTAAAAATAATCTAAAATCATGTATGGAATATTGCTCTTGAAGAAGCCCTATATAAGATCTACATATTGTGTCTGTATATCAAAGTTTGTAAATACATAGCATTCAGCACGGAATGCTCTTCTGCACACATTTGTTTGAAGTGAAATAAACAAATATATAAAAACTAAATAAACAGCTAGTTGGTTATTATAATTAGATTTAAGAGGCGGTAATGACGTGGAATCTTCCCCGCACGGACATTTCATCTTCAACAAGGGTAACAACCATGCAATGGAGATGGAGTTAACTAAGATTGTAAATAAGCTGCAAGCATTCAGCAAGCATACATATTTTAACTGTGGCATTGAACTTAAAGCAATACATCTTTGCCAGATAGTAATCCGAAATTATCATTAGCGTTCTGAACATTTTATTCGAGTTTTCATTCGACCGTCAGTTTAATACAATAGTGTTTAAGTTGACATTCTTACGTGGCACGACAGTGTACAGAATCGTGTTTTTCGCGATCAGGAGTGGCGAATGGATGTACCTGTGAGGATGAGGCATATTAATAAGACAGGTGAACACTTTTTTGTCCAAACCAAACCAAAAAATGTGCTTTTTATTGGCAATTAAATGGCATTGTAAAATATCTATAGAGCATCTCGCTGTGTTTATCCGTTTGTTAGCAGAGTTTATACAAACGCAAATAAAATGCGATATTATGACAGTACATGTTTCAAAGAAATTACCGAAACACCCAAGAGAAAAGGAAGTCAGTGAAAAAGAAAAGTCACCAGCAAACACCATCACACCAAGAACACTATGAGGAATTATATATATATATATATATATATATATATATATATATATAAACAACGACATGCGCAGATCGATTCGCCAGCAGCGAGTCATCGCCGGCAGCAGCGAGTCGCCAGCAGCGAGATGTCACTGCAGCAAAACACTATTGTACACGGTACCAACGCTGTTATAATTTAGACAATGGGTTGTGTATCATATTATTTGTTATATTTTTATTATTCATTATTTTTACTTGACTCGCATAAATAATTCTGTTCGAAGAACAATTTATGCAGTTTTTCTTCGCAGCACTTCACTTGCAATTTGCAATTTCTAGTTAATGAAATAAACTTAACTGTTGATGAAAGTGATTATTTTGCTATTTTACCACAAACCTTTAAATATTTTCTTTACAGTGTTTGGTGAGCTTTGTAGTTTCGAAAAAAGTTATCTCTGAGAAATATCCGGTTTCCTTTATAAATTTATAAGAATGATATTGTTATGTCACACCTATTTGTCACACTTGTATTCGTCACATTAAATTTAGACATAGCTTAAACTCCATCTAAAAATAATATAGGCCTAATAATAATAATATCAACAACAACAACAACAACAACAACAACAATAACAATAATAATAATAATAATAATAATAATAATAATAATAATAATAATAATAATAATAATAATAATAATAATAATAATAATGATCGCCTAATACTAACACGTTCTTGAGGTCTATGTCTATGAACGATTTAAAAATTTTGCGAGACCTACGGGTTGTTGTTTATAAATCGAGGGTAATTTTGTGTCTCGATATAATATGTAAACAACAAAGTGAATTCATCAATGTTGCTGTGCCATCCAGCGAAACTGTGCGCAAGAGGCATAGGATAGGAACAAGTTGAACCTAAAAATCAGTTTGATTAAAAACATATACGAAGTTTGTTAGCCTCCCCGGACCAGATCAGATTCGGCGTGACGTAACAACTGCATGTACCGTATCCAGGCGACAAGTGGACAAATGTGGTGAAGCGTTCTGCATAATTTACTGTTCTCATAGTGGATGCTCGTCAAATGTTGTTATTCAAGAATTTGTAATAGAATACAAGTTAAAATTAAGTTACAGGAGCTTCGAAATTTGGTTGCAGTTAATATACAAATGAATTTAATCAACATATCGACAAGTGGACAATGTGGTGAAGCGTTCTGCATAATTTACTGTTCTCATAGTGGATGTTCGTCAAATGTTGTTATTCAAGAATTTTAAATAGATTACAAGTTAACATTTAGTTGCAGGAGCTTCGAAATTTGGTTGAAGTTAATATACAAATGAATTTAATTAACATGTTTTGGTGTTATAATATAGACACAATAGATACAGGCCTAACATTGCAAAAAAAATCGGTACTTGATTATTGCAAAGCCTGGAATGATGACGATGATGATGATGAAGATGATGATGATGATGATAATAATAATAATAATAATAATAATAATAATAATAATAATAATATTAATATTAATAATAATAATAATAATAATAATAATAATAATAATAATAATTGGTAATGGTATAAATAAATATAAAATGAGATAATTATTGAGAGTGTTGATTACAAGCACGGCTAGGCACTCACGATCGTCGGCCAACGATTCCAACTGCACTCCACGTGAGCGCTAGGCAACACTTTATCGGTTGTTGTCTGATCCATGAACGCGTGTCGTGGCGTTGCGTTCTCCATGGTGAGCAGAGGAGATTACATACCATGCACGAATAATCCTGTATCATATGAAATAATTTGTATCCTGAAAGAATTTATATCCTAAAAGAAAAGTGCTAAAAAACAAGGTAACACTAAAATATAACAATAATTGTCCCTTTAAATGTTGAAAATCTGAAGTGTATATGAAGTGAGTTTAGAGTGAGACAGCGTTCATGAATCCAGCGACATCAATCATCATCAAGATCAATATTTGATAAGGCAAGCAGAATTATTAAACACAATTAACTTGACATCGTATGTAAATGTGATTATTTGATTATGGACAGTGACAATTTACATTGGCCATTTGATATTTATATTCATGATTCACTTCCCTTATGATCGTCTGAAAAATAAAATAATAAAAAAAAACATTTGATATTTTTTGTTCATTATCCACTTTCCATATGATCTTCTGCATAATAAACATCGATCGAATTGCAACTAAAAAAAAACCACATATAATGCATGAAACAGTCTGAAGACTGACGTTGTACAAGAATAACAACGTGTAAAACGTACTGAACATTGCATTATTAAACATGTAGTGGAGTTGAGTATTGAATGGCTTAATGATGATTGTCTTTCTAATCCACAGTCCTGGGTTCAACTCCTATCACAACAGGACTATCTCAAGACAAAAACAAATCCACTCCCTCCTAGTGGAGGAATATTTGAGCTAGCTAAAACATGCTTTTCACAGTTTTCATATTGTTAAGGGGGAGCCATGTTTCGATGCATAGGATGTAGGCCTATATCGCTTTCCTTAAACAAAATGTAGCCTTAGGCCTACATCAAAATGATCAATGATAAGTCTTATTTATTCAGATCATACCGGTAATGTTTCTACATTATAAAATCATCGTCATCATCATCGTTGCCGTCGTCATCATCATCATCATCATTACTACTACTACTACTACAACTACTACTACTACTACTACTACCACTACCACTACCACTACCACTACCACTACCACTACCACTATTATTATTATTATTATTATTATTATTATTATTATTATTATTATTATTATTATTATTATTATTATTATTATTATTATTATTATTATTATTATTATTATTTATTCACTCCGTGGTCTTTTTATCTCAGAGACCGTCCCGAAAGAGTAATAAATCAGCGGTTGAAGAGTTTATTACATCGAGGCACTCCTGTCCTCCTA